GATGAAACCTAATAGACTAGGATCAGAAGGAAGGAAAAGAAGACCTCCCCTAACAGTGGACTTGGGGAAGGGCATACGTGGAAAAGGAGGAGGAAGGGAGGGATTGGGAAGGAAGGAAGGAGGGAGCTACAGGGGGGATACAATGTGAATGAAATGTAATTAATAAAAAATTAAAAATTAAAAAATCAAAAATAAAAGCACAGAGTATGAATCTTACCTATAAATTTATTGTAAACAATAAATAAATTTAATTAATGATACTAAAAAAAATAAGGAGCTTTAAGATCAAATATGTACTATAATATCATATATATTTATATATAAATAAGCATTAATTTTGATGAATAGGTAAAATTTGAAACTGTCTTTCTTTTCCACTCCTTATTTACACCCCAAGTGACATCCTGTGATGTTGCCACCCAAGAACTCACATACTAAATATGTAGGGGTGAATTGGAGAAGAGGGAATAAGGGTAAGATTTGGTCATACTGTGTTCATGCATAAAATTCTCACACAATAAAAAATAACAGAAATCTTCTCCAGAGCCTTTATCTCACTATTGTGTTTTTGATTATTATATTTATTAGTGTATGTGTGTGTGTGTGTGTATGTATACATGAGTGTAGTGCCCATAGAGGGCAAAAGGCGGTCTTGGATTCCCCAGAAGCTGGCATTATTAGAGTTTGTGACCCTTCTAATGTGGGCTCTGTTAATCAAAGTTGGGTATTCTTTAAAAGAATTACGCACTCTCTTCTGTATATCCCTAGAGAAAAGGTTATCTTTCATCTTTGACATTTGTGTATGTAAGCTCACGAATTACTTAATGATAAACTCCTAAATGACAGTACAATAACATCAGTAACCAAAAATCCTTCACTTATGTTTCAGTGTCTTGTACTTCACAAACCTAAATATTTTACATTGTTGGCCAATACACCTGCTGCCTGAGACCTAAGTAGCTTAAATTATTTTAGTTCCATGTTAACGTCATGTTTATTTCATTTACTTTAATGTTTTGATTAAAAAATGTAAGCACTATGATATTCTGTTATAGAAATGTAAAAAAAAAACAATTTTCAAAAATACATATAAAAATTTTAAATTAAAAAATTTTAGAATTGAAAACTCCATGATTTCACAATTTTAATTGTTTTATGTTGCATTGATAGTTTTTAGAATAATAACATACATAGTTTTATTTTAAATCACTAAAAAGTATTTTAAAAGTTGTACTTCATTAAGTATATACCTTTACCTACAATATTGTAAATTTAAATAATATTGATAGCGAAAAAATGAAGACAAGAATTTAAGATTTGTTAGATTTTTTCTCTTTTTTGCTTTCGTAATTTTTATTTTTATATTAATTACAGTTTATTTACTTCGTATCCCAGATGTAGCCCCCTACCTCATTCCCTCCCAATCGCACCCTCCCTCTCTCATCTCCTCCTTGCCTCTCTCTAAGTCCATTGATAGGGTAGGTCCTCCTCCCCTTCTATCTGTCCCTCCCTAGCTTATCAGGTCTCATCCAAACTGGCTGCATTGTCTTCCTCTGTAGGAGAAAATAAAAAAAAAAAAAAAAAAAAAAAAAAACAGGACAGGAGCCTACCACAGAGGGCCTCTGGCAGACTCTACCTAGCAGTGTATTAAAGCAGATGCTGAGACTCATAACCAAATCTTGGGCAGAGTGCAGGGAATCATACGAAAGAAGGGGGAATTAGTAAGACCTGGATAGGACAAGAGCTCCACAAGGAGAGCAGCAGAACCAAAATATCTGGGCACAGGTGTATCTTCTGAGACTGATTCTCCAACAAAGGACCATGTTTGGTTGTAACCTAGATCCCCTGCTCAGATGTAGCCCATGGCAGCTCAGTCTCCAAGTGGGTACCCTACTAAGGGGAACAAGAACTGTTTCTGACATGAACTCAGTGGCTGGCTCTTTGATCTCCCCCTGCCAAAGGGAGAATTTATTAGATCTTAACCTAAATAGTTAAGATTGAGATTCTTTTAGAAATCAAATTTTATATTTCTCATTGGTGTTTTTCTTTCCTTGCCTCTCCTTAAATTCTTACATGAAAGAGGGTAAATCATCATACTGTTGATGGACAAACAAACAAACAAAAACAAAAAAACAGAAACCCTTATTTATTCCAGAAACTATAAAAACGGTCTGCTTGCAGATGCTCTCTGTGTTTCTAAATGTAAAATTTCCAGGAGAGGAAGCCTCTGTTTGAACTCTATCAGTTGTCAGATTGCCTGAGGCTCTGATAATAGGCATTCCTTAGTGCCTAAGACATATCTCAAATGCATCTATCATATTAGGTTTTTGATTTTTGCTATGGTGATAAAAAATAAAGTCCATAATATCTGCTATGGTATTAGCCTACATTTGTAAATAAAAATGTTTGTGAAAGGCTCCTGACATGATTGGGTTTTTATATAATTTGCTTAGTATGTATAAACATTTTATATAACTCTGCAACAGTACATGACATTTATTCTCACATTTTACATTAATTCTTAAGAAACACGTATTCATTCTTTTTAGACTCAGTTGGACAATATTATTTGTTTAGGTGGAGCTAATAATGTCTGGAAATAATATCTCTTTTCAAATATAACTTCAATTTATTTTCTTAGAGGAAAATTGGTTTTAAACACAACTTCAGTCAATTATCCAATCATTTAAAAATTAAAGAGCTATACTACATATTTGAGAACATGCTTTGGTGTGCTTGAAATATAATATGTTAGTCACTGTTCCAAAAGGGAATTTTCCTCTTTCTCCAAAGAGTGTTACTCCTCAAAAGTAATGAAATATTGGTGTGCAGTTCTTGCTTGGAAGGGAAACTACTTTCATGTAGGTGATAGATAGGAAGAAGATTTATAAGTAGATGATGGAATGTGTATGCACACATACAAATAAATGCTTATACTAATGACAATTTTATTATATCTAAAATAACTATTAATACAATTTTAATGCTTCATGTTAATCTTAAGACTACCACAAGAGAAAAGCAGACATGAACAATGTTGTATGAGAATTCTCTTGGATTTCACAGACCATGACTTGTCTGTGGTATTACAGATTGAAGCCACTAAAAGTCATCAAAGGATAGGTGAAAAGTAGAGCATAAGCCTCTTAAAATGATAACTACATAATTTTATTTTGCATATGCCATTTTATATAAGTAAAGACTTTGGTCAGGAACTGATTATTTTAACTGTGCCTAGATTATGGAATCCTGATCAATATTAGCAGTGTTATTTTCAAATATAAGGAAGAAATTATGAAATAATCTTGTGTATTGTACTTAAAGCAGAGTATGATTTATTTTAATAGTTCCAAGTTTGATAATTCTAAACTCTATTGAGTTTAATGGAGTTTAAGTTCTTAACATAATTGGATTTTTAAATTATTTGTCAAAAAATTGAAGCATGTATGATAAAATGAAAGCATTGTTAGTTATACAAGGAAGTCAAAAGAGAGGATTTTTATCAAAGAAGTTACCTTACACTGATCCCACTCTAAAGACCAGTAAGTACAGAAGTGAAATATCTATCTGTACATTAGAGCCAGTTCTGTCTCACCTGCTCACTTGGTTGTGTAGCACTGGGTAGTTATTGTAATGGCTGGTTTCATGTGTCAGCTTGACACAGAGAGGAAGGAGCTTCAGTTGAGGAAATGCCTCCAGGAGATCCAGCTGTAAGGCATTTTCTCAATTAGTGAGCAATGGGGGAGGGCCCAGCCCATGGTGAGTGATACCATCCCTGGGCTGATAGTCCTGAGTTCTAGAAGAAAGCAGGCTAAGCAGACTATAGGAAGCAAGCCAGTAAGCAGCATCCCTCCTTTGCCTCTGCATCAGGTCCTGCCTCTAAGATCCTGCCCTCTTTGGGTTCCTGTCCTGATTACCTTCACTGATGAACAGCAATGTAGAAGTAAGCCAAATATAACCCTTTCCTCAACAACTTGCTTTTTGGTCTATTGCGGGAATAGAAAGCTAACTAAGACATTTTCTGATCATCAAGTTTCTTTACTTTCTTACAGTGATGGCCCTGAGCTCATTGGGAATTCATCAAAGTTGTATAAATCAGGTTGAAGATTCTAGGCCATGGAAAGGCTCATTTCCTCATTAGTAGTGTGGCTATTAAAATATATAATAGAGGTGGAATAGTAACTAGAATATACTGTGCACATGTGCAAAACTGTCAAATAACAAAATTCATTGATAAATAAACAAAAGATCATATCATGAAGAAAAGTTCAGCATGCATCAATATCCCTCCTTAGAGTAATTTTATTTCCAAGATCCTTTAGTGCTCTTGGTATCAGAGAGCTAACAATCATTAGATGTATTTCTTTTGGGTTCGTGCTTTTGAAAATGATTGATACGCAAGTTCCAAAACTATTCTTTCACACACTAGAGGCCTGGAATGTTAAATTTTCTATTTAGCCTATAGACAGGAGTCAGATGCTGTGTTGCTTCATCTTGTCTAGAACTTGTATGATCTGAGAGTGTTCGAGAGAGACTTGTTGCTAAACCTCATCAATATTCAACAGATATTTAATGAGAACTCTCTTTGTATCAAATTGTTATTGCTTTCTGTGGATGCAGAATTAATGACAGCACAGCTTCCATGAAACTATTCTGAATTATCGTTAGACTATTTCAAATATAGCGATCAATATGAGCTCTAATCAAAACTGAAAGCCTAATAGAATACATTGTTTTCTTTTTTACTGTTTGTGGATAGAGTTATTTCAAAATTAGTACAATGACCCATTGGGAAGTGCTTAGGGGCTTATGGCAGTGATAATTGGCCATTTTGTTTAAAGCACTGTAATGTAACACATATACTATACATTAAAATAAAAGTTCTTTTCTTGTTCAAGATATAGTTCAGTGGTAGAATGTTCTCTTAGCCTTTACAAGGCTCTGGGGGCCTATCCCCAGAATTTGAAAAGTAAAAAGAAAAAATATTTTTCTCTTTCAAGGTAACTGAACTGCACAACATCAAAAATATAACCAGGCTGCCTCGAGAGACAAAGAAGCATGCAGTGGCAATTATCTTTCATGACGAAACGTCAAAGACATTTGCTTGTGAGTCAGGTAAGCAATTTCAGGCCCATCTACAGCTTGAGGAGATTGAGTTGCTTCAGAGACAACGACTCAGATAGGTGAAGCCACATGGAAGTCTGAATAGGATGGCATATTGTAATGAGAATGTGGGGTAGCAAGCTTTGCAAGAAGCTTGACATACTGATGTAATGTAGAAACACATGTGTTGGGTTTCCACTGTCTTGTCTTTGTCTGGAGCTTTGTTGCCAGGTGGCCTGTGGACTATTGGGCTTTTGTTCAACCTTTGAGAATTTATTTAACAGTACCTGGGAGATATTAAAGGTCATCTTATGATTTGTATTCTGGGTTTGGCAAAGTAGAGCTCTGAAGCATTTTCTAGTGTAATAGTAACTCTGTCATGAGAAAGCTCACCTAAGATCAGCCTGTCTCCCCAGACACTTGAGAATAGAACTTTACATAATGTATTGTTTTCATGGAATTTTGATACTATAAATCAATGTATTTTAGATTAAATTTTAGCATGCCAGTTCATAAAACATTATGACATTATGCAGACACAAGCAGTTTGTCATTTGAACCTACAGTATTTTTCATGGAGTAATCCCTGTGTTTTGTAACATATTAGTCAGTTTATTGCCTTTTAAAGACTCAGCTCAATGAAATGCTGTATTTGTTCTGTAATGGATATCTATAGAAAGGATGTCCAAAATATCTAAAGCCTTGAAAGATGTGAATTTAAAATAATAGTGAGGTTTTTAGGAAAGCTTTGATATAATTTTAAAGGATAGATATGACTTAAAGTTTATCAGTTTAATTAATACAAGAATATATTCAAAGAGCCATAAATCACTCTTTGGTTTCCTATCAGCTGGCTCTCAAATAAGGTTCAAAATATGAGAAAACATACAACATGCTTCTTTTCACCTTTTAATTTTCTAAAACATTTGTAAGAGTGCATATTCTCTGTGAATGCTCATATTCTATACATATGTATATAGTGTTGTGTGGTATGTTTTTCCAAATTGCAACATTTCCTAGGAACTGCAATATTTGCTCCAGGAGAAAAGAAAGGCTCATGAGCCTCAGGAGATAAATAAAAGCTCACCAAAGGTCGCATATAAAGGTGTGGGTGGGGAAAAAACACATCACAGGTTATTGAGGACCTCTACCCAACAGTGTGAATTGGAGTAAACAGTTGTTAGGGATGGAGACTCTCACCAGCCAAACTGGGAAAAAATTGTTCATACAGTGGAGCTGCCAATAGGCTGCATGGAGAGCTCAATGGCTGCAGTTTTGGAAGTCATCACCAATGCTAGGGTAAACTTTCTGGTGATATGGCTGCTTTTGTGTAATCCCTGCTTCTTGTGATATTCGTTCATCCTCTTATTAAAAACTGATTGGTTCACCAAATTTGACATTGCTGGAATCATTAATTTAGTCTGTCATGGGCTGCTTTTCTCGGATAAGTTAACATGTGTGTGTCTCATCTTTTCAGAAACGGTATATCACACAATACACAGACACATGTGTATGCACATACCCAGTTTCTTCCCAAAGACCCTTACTACAAAGTCTTTCTTCCTCATTACCCATGATCACTTCCTCACTCTGATAAAGTATATATGTCAAAGGGATGGAGGAAAAGTAGATATTTCTTTGTATTCTGATACTAAAGACATTTTAATGGTTTGTATTAAGTACATACTACACATGCATTCTGTGTTTGCATCATCCTATATGCCTAAACTGAAAACATCCAACTCTTTCATACCTTGATACTGGCGCATTTGTGCTCGTAAATAAGACACAGCCCCATGTGTGCATCTGAACTTTTTGGAGTCTTGACCTTGAAATGAGAAGTACAGTCTAACTCTAGAAATCAGGGCAGCAAGGAGCCCAGAGAGGAACTGTGACACCACACAGGTGGCGTCCAGGTCCTCCAGCCTGAGCATCACATCAGTACTTGAGACTCAGTACCAACAGAACATAGTTTTCTTAATGAACTGAATTTGAAGTGCATTTAAACAATCTCCGGGATGGCCATAAGAAACTAGAATTTAAAATAAAATCTCCTAAACGTCTAAGAGTATTCCCAAATATTTCCACACAAATAAGTGTTTTAAAAATAAAAACTAAAAACACATATCTTCAGGTAAGCGAATTTTTGTCCACTAATATTCATTAAATGTTAAGATCACTGAAATATTTAGGTTACGGAAATATACACAATGATGATGATCTGAGAGTGTTTCCTCTGTAGAAAATTTGAGATTGTTTTCGTGATGAAAACAAATATTTTACTGATTCTAAAGTTCTGGTGGACGATAAAAGTTGGATTTTATTAATTTGCAATTCAATTCCTGGATCCTTTCAAAAGTAATTAATTTAAAGCATAATATTATTCATTTCAAGTGTTGAATTAACAAACTAAAATTGCTAAAATTTACAGTTCTATTTTTATTCATAAATCAGATTCCACTCATAAGTAGAAAAATAGTAATAAGGTCATACTAATAATACTTGAAAAATAAAACTGGTATTATAGAGAAATATTATCTAAACCAGCAAATCATGACAAGGTCTCACAGTGTGTTATACTCATTGAATAGTTTTCTTACATGAATTAGATTTCATCATGTACTGAAGAGACATCTAATCATACATATATTAATTTAGAAACCTCAGCCTGCCTTATTATCTTGAAGAATGGCCTAGTGTGGGATTCATAAAGTGTTCTTACAATGAAGCTTAATCTATAATTAATGTTATTGGCTGTAGTTCTTTCTGGCCATATATCTGAAAGATGCTCAACCATACAACAAGGACATTTGCTCAGCTATTTTCACAGCAGCTTTATTTGTAATAACCAGAGTCTGGAGACTACTTAGATGTCCCTCAACTGAATGGATACAGAAATGGATACAGGAATGGATACAGAAGTTGTGGTACCTTCACACAATGGAATACTACTCACCTGTTAGAAACAAAGAAATCATGAAATTTTCAGGCAAATGGTGGAAACTAAAAAAGATCATCCTGAGTGAGATAACCAGAAGAAAGATATGCATGATATATACTTCCTTATAAGTAGATATTAGCCATATAACATAGGATAACCATACAACAATCTATAGATCTAAAGAAGCTAAATGACAAGGAGGGCCTTAAGGAGGATGCTTAAATCTCATTCACAAAGAAAAACAGGATAGACATGGTAGAACATAGGGAACAGGAGGGGAGCTTATCATAGATGTCCTCTAAAAGACTCCATACAGCAGGGGATAAAAGCAGATGCAGAGACTCACAACCAAACTTTGGCTAGAGCCCAGGGAGTCTTGTGGAAGATGGGGGATATTGAAGGACACAGAAGGGACATGAGCCCCACAAGGAGAACAAAATAGCTAAATAACTGTTCCTTGATCACTGACTAGGTGACCTAGCCAGTCCACAGAAAAAGAAGAGACAGGCAGACCTGATGGGACCTAATAGGCTAGGATCAGAAAGTAAGGGAGGAGGACTTCCCCTATCAGTGGACTAGAGGAGAAGGATATTGGAGGAGGAGAGAGGGAAGATGGGACCAGGAGATGAGGAAGGGAACTACAACTAGGATACAAAGTGAATAATTTGTAAAACATAAGAAGAAGAAGAAAAAAAAATACCCCCCACCTATACTCAGAATCTATAACTTGATTAACTGGGCTTTGTGGAGAACTCACTGATTCCAGGACTAAATGCCTAGTTAAGTTAAATTCAGAGCATCTTATAAAGCTAAAAATATATAGAACCTAATTAATTAATCAAAACAAACTCAAAAAGAAGCACCATTTGGGAAAATTCACAGTAGTTGAGCAGCAAAGAGTTAGAATGGGATTATTACTCATTATAAATATCATCAGATCAAGTTGATTTAAATAAATGTTTAAATGACTGAGTGGGCAGAGATAGAGAAATATTCCATGTGGAAGATCTTTAATTGGAAAGTGACATGCAATTCTGCATTTTTCAAATATGGTATATTCACTGTGACTTTATTCCAAAGAGAAGTAGGTGAGAAAGAATAACTTGGTATTGAAGGAGACTGACATTCTACCTTATCTGAGTGATCTGATAAGCATCATGGGATAAGTCCTCTGTTATAATGTGGAAAAACTGCATCATGCCTGATGGCCTTTGTCTTAGCAAAGTCCATATCAAGTGCAATGGTAAGGGGAAAAATTGAACAAATTCAAATGCTACTACATCTCTCCTTTTTTTTTTTTTCCAAATTTTATTTGTTTTTTTTTCTTTTTAAAGATTTATTTATTTATTAGTTGCAGTTTACTCACTTTGTATCTGAGCTGTATCCTCATCCCCATCCCCTCCCAATCCCACCATCCCTCCCTCTTCTTCTCCAATGCCCCTCCCCCAGTCCAATGATAGGGGAGGTCCTCTTCCCCTTCCATCTGACCCTAGTCGACCAGGTCTCATCAGGACTGGCTTCTTTGTCTTCCTCTGTGGAATGGTAAGGCCGTTCCTCCCTCAGGTAGAGGTGATCAAAGAGCCAGCCCATGAGTTCATGTCAGAGATGGTCCCTGGTCCTATTATTGGGGAACCCTCTTGGATACTGAGCTGCCTTGGGCTACTTCTGTGCAGGGGTTCTAAGTTATCTCCATGCATGGCCCGTGTTTGGAATATCAGTTTCAGAAAAGGCCCCTGTGCTAACATTTTTTGGTTCTGTTGCTCCCCTTGTGGAGCTCCTGTTCCCTCCAGGTCTTTCTATCTCTCCCTTCTTTCATAAGATTCCCTGCACTCTGCCCAAAGTTTGGCTATGAGTTGAGTCTCAGTATCTGCCTTGATACCCGGCTGGGTGGAGTTTTACAGAAACACTCTGTGATGGGCTCCTGTCCTGTTCCCTGTTTTCTCCCTCTTCCAATGTCCATTTCATTTGCCTTTCTGAATAAAGATTGAGCATCTTACCCAGGGTACTCCATCTTGCTTAGCTTCATTAGATGTATAGATTTTAGTATGATTATCCTATATTATGTGTCTAA